TAAGATCTCTATGTTAGTGGTCGACCTCATGTTGGTGTCATTAAGATCTCTATGTTTATAAAAGTGGATTGGTTAACCGATTCATTTTTTATAAAGTGGATCAATTTGGTTTTTTTAAAATATGGATCGGTTTTATTGAAATTGGATCGGTTCGGTGCAGTGCAGTTATCCACTTTTTACTCATATATGGATCGATTTTTTAAAAAAACTAAATTGAACTGAACCGATCCACTTTGTAAAAATGGATCGGATAACTGAACCGATTTTATACACTAGTTCGGTTCAGGTTTTTTTTCAAAATGGATCAAATTTTTCAATACGGATCGAATAGGTTATGAATCGGTTCAGATCAATTTGAGTTTTTTGCGCACCCCTATTTGAAAGATATGTGATAGTGTTGTAAGTTAATGTCGTGATAAGTTCATACTCAAATTATTTATGTTACAAAAATATTAGAATTTCTATTTTAAATAACGAAGCTCGATAAATCAAATTAAAATCCACCCCACAGGTATTTTGTGTTCTTGGTCTCTATTCTCAGAAAAAGAAAAAAAAAACTTAAACAAATTACTTTAAGAATATGTATATTTTTTATTCATCTTTTGTTTTCGATTATCATGCCTACCCTAGAGATGTTTTATTTTGTAAAGCTGTTTACGTGTCATAAACAATTTATTTCAATAATTAATTTTTTAAATAATTTTTTAATATTTATTATTATTTTGGCTGAAAAGTCTCTTTTCTCTTATCAAACATAGCTAAGCATTGGCCAATTAGAAAATTGAGGTTAAATATTTTTGACGTTGATGCGACCTTCGGTGGAGCCATGTTCGGTAGCCGACATGAATCGATTGACGTTACTTATCCATCTGACATATGTGCCTTTCTGTTAGGTAGTGTTTGTTTCTACTAATTTACTGTTCACGACGAATGAAAGGCGAGGAAATTTTACGTTTGTTTCTACTGATTTATGAAGAAAGAAAGGCGAAGAAAAGAGGGAGAAGAGACGTTGAGCATCTTCGCATTTTTGCAAAGAAAAGAGATGAAAGCCACGTAAAATTTAAGAAAATTTCATAATACCCTTACCTCATACATGCAAAAACTTTATCATACAACAGAGAAACGACGCATAATTGATTATGTTATATATATGTATACAGCATAATCGATTATGCTGTATAATGCTGTATACATATATACCATAATCGATTATGCTGTATATATGTATACAGCATAATCGATTATATATATATATATAATATTAATATTTAATATATAATATTTTAAATTAAATATAATTATTTAATATTAATATTTAATTTATATATATATAT